AGACCTTATCCCCACCTCCTGACTGCTGTTGGGTTGCCTCAGTGGCTCACGGTCTCCTCCCTCTATCCAAAAACACTTTCTGATTCAGAGTCCTTTAGCCAACTAAAAGGAAGATGATTTTTGGAAAGCCCTAAGGAAGCTCTTCCTGTTATTGCCTGACAGAAGCAAAGTAATGACAGACCAAACCACGTGTGATACAGAAGGCTTTGTGGTACCACTGTTTCCAACCCTTTTGGGTTCACGTATCTGGTTACCCAGCACCCGTTTGCATACCTCATCTTGCTGTATTTCCTTTCATTAAGGCCAGAGAGACACCGACTACAGAGTACGGTGGGGGCGGGGGGAGGCAGGGGAGTGAGGGTCAGGAGAAAAAAGAACGGGAAGCAGGCTAGAGGCCAAAAGACTTCTGCAGGGTTAGAGCCTGTCCCTCACACGGAGGTCCTCAGGTACCTCTAGCCTCAGTCCCTGTAGTTTCAAAACTGCTTTAGTTTCTCTTCAAAGTCCGGAAGCTAACGCAAAACCCTACAGCAGAATCAGGAAGGAGAAGGCCAACAGGGAGAAGCCGCAAGTGGGCTGCGACTATTGCTTGTAGAAGACCCGACTTCCCAGACCCCTTCGCAGAAGGGCGGGGCGTGAGCTTGGCGGCCAATCCTCACGTCCGCACGTCGCCATAGCCCCGCCCCACCCTGCCCCCTCTCGCTCCGCCCTTCCCTGGGGCTGGTGCGGCGGCGGAGACGTCAGCGTTAAGAGACCCCTGGGTGGCGGCTGCGCCGTCGGCGGGCCGCGGCCTGGACGCGCTGCGGGGGAAGGGGCGGAGCGAGCGAGCGAACGAGCGGGCGGGGGGGGGAGGGAGGGTGAGTTGGGTCCGCCTCGGCCGCCGCCAAGGAACGATCTGGGCGGCAGCGGGCGGCCCCAGGCAGCGGCCGCGAGCCACTTCTGCGGGTACCGGGAAGAGCTAAGGTTGCCGGTCTCGAGTCGTCCCCCTCTCCGCCCCCCAGGAGGGGCGAGAGGGAGCCGCGGCTGATGTCAGGTACGGCCGGCGGAGGCGCCCTCAGGCTGCGGGTCCAAGGTCTCGGTTCCCTTCGTCCTCATTGCTCGGAGTGTGTGTTTGGGGGAGCGTAGAGGGTGGAACCAAACCTGGGCGCAGCCAAACAGGTGTCTTGGGGTCGCCGCCGGGGCCGGGGACTTGCGGGCTCCTGAGGGAGGCGTGGGGCACTCCTGCTCCGGCGCCTCTGTGAACTGCCATTGGGGCCGTCTGACCATCGGGCCGCTAGCTTGTTGACCAGTAGCCTCCTCTTCGTGGTGGGTTCTTCCTTTCTGCCCCCGGGTGCCCCTCACCTCTTCCTCGCTCCTCTCTCCTTTTCGCGCGCTGCCCACGGGCGGGCGGCGGGCGGCGGCCGTGAGGCGCGGGACTGCGGCGGGTCGCGTTCTGACCACTTAGAGGTCCTGCCCGTCGGGCCTCCCCCCCCCCCCCCCCGACCTGTGGGTCAGGCGAGTCCCGGGGCTCAGGTGTAGGCACCTTCCGCGAGAGCCGCCGGGCTGCCGGGCAGTCGGAGTGCCGGGGGACTTCCTCGGGGCTTTCTTGGATCATCAGGTTTGTCTGTGGCTGATCTGTTTTTTTAAATTTCACTGCCTCTGGCAGAATGAGCAAGCCAGGTGTGTTTGACTCACTTGCTGCGTAGAGGGGGAAAAGAGTTTTTTCTCTCCCCCCCCCCACCCGCGAGTGTGTGAGTAGTAGGTGCTGACAGATTGGCCATACAGCTTTGAATTTGGAGAAACTGTATACTCTAACAGAAGAACGTAATTTGGGAATGGGGATTTATTCTTCCCTAGCTCGTACTCTCTTAATTTTTAAAATAATAAACAAGAAAGCACCACATGCTCTGGAAAAGTTGATTGGCTTTTTAATCTTGTTCTCTAAGTTCGTTATAGATATTGTAGTATATGTTTTTAACGCTTTTCAGTTTGGAAACTATTATGCTAACCATGAATTGACTTCATTATGAATTAGAAAGTTATAAAGGTAGAACTTTAACGCATTAAAGTGAATAATTAAGCCAGTGTGATTGGGACAGAAATATGTTCATTTACTAAAAGTTAGGCACTGAATATAGGTAGGTCGGCCTGGGTGCCAGGAAAAAGCGTTGTGCATGATTTCAACTTGTTTAATTTTGGTGTAGGTTTAGACAGTGGGAACCTGAATTTTTAGGAGGTATTTAGACAGCTTTCCATACCGTTAGCAGATAAATGTCAAGTGAACCTTATGCATGTGATGTTATGTGTTATAAGTATTGTATAAAGTAAACTATACGTATTTTCCACTAGCCTTAGTATATATTGATGTGCACTTTAAGTGAATATAAAGATTCAAGTTACCAGTTAACTCTTTTCACCATATGTTAAGTAAAACAGTGATTTAGTAAGGAAAATATGACTCATTTAAAATTCTTCATGGGAAAAGAGCATGGTTTTTCAGTACTCGTGGAGAACTATTAAATATCTCTCTTAAATTTGCCTGTAATTTGTTTTTTCTGTATCTTTTTAGGCTTCAGCATTTTAAAAATACTTTGTGGTTAATACCTTTTGAGGGATAAATATGGTTTGTTGTTGTTTTTTTAAAGATTTTATTTATTTGACAGAGCAAGAGAGGGAACACAAGCAGGGGGAGTGTGAGAGGGAGAAGCAGGCTCCCCGCTGTGCAGGGAGCCGGATTTGGCGCTCAATCCCAGGATGCTGGGATCATGACCTGAGTCAAAGGCAGACGCTTAATGACTGAGCCACCCAGGCGCCCCTTGATAAGGTTTTTCTTAAATATGCTTTTTTGGGGGGCATAGGTTAGTAGTACGTACAATGGATTAATTTTAATTTTCACCCAGTCATAGAAATACAAAACTGTGTCATTTAGGCATATGCAATTTACTATTTGTATATTGACTTGTGCTAAGATAAAAATTGCATCTTAAGCTTATAAACCTTGTAAACCATGGTAATTTAAAATAGAGTCTCTGTGATGAAATTATTGATCGGAATTCTTGTGATATTGCAGCGGTAAACATTAAATGGAAAGGGGAAAACTTGATGAAATTAATTTCAGATTCATTTAAAATTTTAAGCTTCCCAATACAACCATGTTACTTTTAGAAGATTTGTTGAGATTTGAATAAAGACACTAGTGTACAAACTGTAACAAGATGGCAAGAAAAGTATGACAAAATTTTTTTTGCTCAAAATTTTTTAGGATTAAGGTCATTACTTTAAAAGACAGAAGAAAGAAAAGGAAAAAAAAAGGAGACTTGTTCTCTAAAAGAGGAGATAGCATTTTATCTTAAATCTAAACGTATATCTAACGTGTACTTAAATTTTCACTTTGCAACTAATTCAGATAGCCAAAGGGAAACTATATACCAGAATGTATAATGTGTGAAAATAAGAAGTGTCCCTTGAAGAAAAAAAAATTAAAGAAATTGATATTAGTGAAATAGGGAAGCATGTAAGAAGGTAGGAGAAACCCCCCCCCCCAAAAAAAAACCTGAATAAACTATCTAGAACCTGTAGTATGAGCTGCCTTGCATATTGAAGGCAGGAAGAAACAATTAAGTTGGAGAGATTCTGAAATGGGAAATCTGATTAGTTTACAACTAAAGCTGTATATTAAAACATTTAAACTGGTAGAAATTAGATAATAGGCAGAATTTGAAATTATGTATGGCTTGGTGTAGTCATTTGCATTCTTGGTCCTTTTATTGGTTTCCTAGGGCTGCCATAATAAAGTACAGCAAACTAGGTAATTTAAAACAACAGAAATTTATCATCTCAGTTCTGGAGGCTAGAATTCTGAAATCAAGATGTTGGCAGGGCCATGGTCTCTAGGTTCTAGGGGAGAATCTGTTCATGTCTTTTAGCTTTTCGTGTCACTGGAAGTTTTTGGTATTCCTTGACTTGCAGCTTTATCACTCCAGTCCTCAGTGTCTCTTGTCATATGGCATTCTCCCTTTATTATAAGGACACCAGTCATACTGGATTAGGATCCACCCTGATGATTTCGTCTTAATTTGATTACATCTGCAAAGACCCTATTTCCAAATAAGGTCCCATTTATAGGTACTGGGGTTAGGACTTCAACCTCAGTCTTTTGCGGGGGAACACAACCCATCACAGTCATATAATTTATCTTATACAGTGTTCGGCAAATTTTTAGCACCATATGGCAGGCCAAATCAGGGAGGTGTGGTAGGAACAGAGAAGGGAACATCTATATTTATTTGTTTGTCATTTACTTATCTCAGTGCTTACTCTGAACCAGGTTGCAGAGTGAAAGCAAACAGGCAGACAAAAATCTCTGTCCTGGAGGAGCTTATATTCTAAAACATTGGTTCTCAGAATGTGGTCCCTGGAATTGCAGCATTGGCATCATCCTGGAACTTGTTAGCAATCCAGACCTCTTGATTCAAAACGTATTTTAACAAAACTTTCAGGTGATTCTGATGCAGACTCAGGTTTGAGAACCAATGAACAAGATGGAGAACAGAGACAATAAACAAGATGAGGAAGTAAAATATGTAATATATTAGATGTTAGTAGGTGCTGTGGGTAAGAATAGGGCGACCAGGGAAGACCCCCTGAGAAGTAAAGGCCTGAAGGAGTTGGAGAGTAAGCCATGTGACAATGTAGGTGAGTTGTGTTCCCAGCAGAGAACAGCAGATGCAAAGAGCCTCACGTATTTGAGAAATAGCAAGGAGTCCAGAGAGAACACAGCAAGGGAAACAGTAATGGGTTCAGTTTATGAAATTTCTGTTTGTTCCTTTTTTACCTATAAAAACCAGAAAGATCAGAGAAAGAAGATCCGAAAAAGAAAAGTGGGGATGGGATAGCAGACCCTCGAGGTTCATCTTAAGGCTTTTGCTTTGTCTCTGAGTGAGATTGGGAAGACACTGGAGGATTTAGAGCAACTCAGTGATAAAATGTTTTTAAAAGGATCAGTGGTGAAGTGGGGAAAAATGGATTGAAGAAAGAAGGATGTAAAGGGAAAAGTTGATTAGGAGTCGGTTATGGTAGTTGAGGAAGGGAGAGGAGAAGAGAGAAAGGGAGGTGACTTGGACTAGGGCAGTAGCAGTGGAGAGGTTAGAAGAGAGGTACAAGATCAAAAGAATATGAGATGGTAGTGAAAAAGAAGGGTTTTTTCCCCCCCTACTCTAGTTACAAGATCAAAAGAATATGAGATGGTAGTGAAAAAGAAGGGTTTTTTTCCCTCCTACTCTAGTTACCTCCTACAACTACCAGTTGCCTGCCTCAAGTGTTACAATTAGTCTTTATATATTCTTCCTGAGATATTTTATGTATATATGATAAACTAAGTTTTAACAGTTTAGTAGAGTGGTTCTTAACTGGAGCTGATTTTGTCCCTCGGGACATTTGGCAGTGTCTAGAGACGTTTTTGGTTGTCACAACCAGGGGGAATACTGCTGGCATCTAGTGAGTGGAGGCCACAAATGCTACTAAACATCTTATGGTGAACAGGACAGCCAATCACAAGAGAGAATTATCCAGCTCAATATGTCATTGG